GCGGAGCTCCTATGGGGCCACGAAGCGTGTGAGGGGTGTGCCGACTTGGGCGTGGGTGACGCATGCGGGCGGCAGCACTGAGGCCTTCGGCGGAGCTCCTATGGGGCCACGAAACGTGTGAGGGATGTGCCGAATTGGGTGTGGGTGACGCACGCGGGCGGCAGCACAGGGGCCTTCGGCGGAGCTCCTATGGGGCTACGAAGCATTGTACTGGGTGGGTGAAACGCAGGGAAGAGGGTGAGGAGGGAGGAGGAGGGGGGGGAGGAGGAGAGGAGAGGAGGAGAGGAGAGGAGAGGAGAGGAGAGGAGGACGCGGGGACCGTCTCTTCAAAACGAGGACCCAACACCACTGGATGGTTTGGGGAAAAAAACGGATAGATATGTATGAATACTTTTATATATATATAGAGAGAGAGAGAACAAAGAGAGAGAGAGAGAGAGAGAGAGAAATAAATATAGAAAGAGAGAGAGAAAGAGAAAGAGAGAGAGAGAGAGAGAGAGAGCGAGAAAACAAAGAGAGAGAGAGAGAGAGACACACACACACAGAAAACGAGAACAGCGATGAGAAAGCAGGAAAGCACAGAAGCCACCTAGGCAAATATACCACCCCCACAGGGGGGGTGTTTCTGGAGCGCTGCTTATAACTACTGGGCCACATCAGGGCGCTTTGGAACCCATCAAGGCCCATCTTTGGAGCGGGGGGCGGCGGTCCGCACGGGGCAGTTTTGGAAGCTTCGGGGGCGACCTGTGGGAGGGCAAACCTTGCCCCCAATCGGCACATTCATACGAGATTCGCTTCTTATGTTCCATCGGCGGCCATGCCAGCCCCCAGGGCCCCCCAAGTCGGCGCCGCGCGGTCCACGAGGCCCCCGAGCAGGTTTCAAGACAGCCTCAAGAGAGCGTCGAGCAGCACAAGAGAGCTCCAAAACAGACCGAGAGAGTCCCTGGGGGGCCCGAGGGGGCCACCGGAGGATCCCTACACGGTCGGGGAGGGCCCCGCGAGGGCCCCAAGACGGTTCAGCTACCCATGACATGCCAAGAAGGGCCTGGGACAGCCGAGGTGGGCTCCCAGACGGCCCACAAATGACCCAAAATGACCCCCGCACGACTGTCCAAGAGGCCGCTCAGAAGGCCCGCCAAAGGCAAAGCGTATAGTTCTGGGAGCTTCGCTTTTCAGTCCCACCAGCGGTCGCGACGGCCCAGGAGGTCGCCAAAATGGGCCCCAGACGGCCCCAGAGGCGCCAAAGAGGGTTCCTAGATGGGCTGAAGAGAGCCTCGAGCGGCACAGAAAAGCGACAAGACGGCCCAAGAGAGCCCCCGGGAAGTCCGATGACGGCCACCAGAGGATTCCCACATGGCCGGAGAGGGCCCCAGGAGGGCCGCGAGACGGGCTGAGCTCCGCACGACGAACCAAGAGAGGCCGGACACGGCCGAAATGGGCCATGGACCATCAGACGGGCAAACAAAGGCCTCAATGGGAAGGCCCGGAGAGGCTGCTGAGAGTGCCACAATGCTTCCAAAAACGCCCCTGGCACGCGCCCCAGTAGACGCCCGTGCACCAGGTGCGTTGAGAGAAGAGAGGAGGTGGAGGAAGAGGAGGAGGAGGAGGAGGAGGAGGAGGAGGAGGAGGAGGATGAACGTAGCGTGGCTAGGTCGTGATGCGCATGGTTGTTTTATTTATATATATATATATATATATGTACATTTATATATATATATATATATATTATATATATATGTACATTTATATATTTTTTTATATATATGTGTATATAAATATATATACACACATATATATATATATTATATATATATATATATTATATATATGTTGGCACTGTTTTTATGCGCGCCGTAATGCGAGGTCCCGCCGCTAAGCATGGAGCATATCAAACATGATGCTGGCCATGATTAGTATGGCGAAGATGCTGGCGATGGCGATGGCGACGATGATGATGATGCTGACGACGATGATGATGGCTATGATGGCGATGACGAGTAAGTGGGTGCCTTGCTCAAGCCGCTGGATCTCGTTTAAGCTTTGGCGGGTCGTGCCTTGCCTGCATCATCTGTCGCCGCGCGCCCGCGGTAGGCGATCGCGACGCGCGCGCGATCGGAAACGCAAGGCTTCTTTCGAGCGGTGGATCAAGAAGCCGCGGGCGAAAGCGGCGCGGGCGGCGAAGGCCAGAGAGGTGGTTCGTGAGCCCAAGTGGCAGGTGTTGAAGTACATGGGAAACGCCAATGCGGCCAGCAGGCGGGCCGACCTCGTCACGAATGTCCTTGGCGCGCGCAAGGGCTTGGTCAGCGCGCTGCGGCCTTTGCCGGAAAGGCGAGGGCGCTCGAGGGGGGGCAGCGCCAAGCAGAAGAAGAAGTTCGAACAGGCCGAGCAGAACATAATAGTATTAATAACAATGATATAGCGTAGAAGACGAGGCAGGAGCAGGAATATCCCAAGAAGACCATGTGCCGCCACAGTGCAAGGCCCACCCACCTTTGCCTCCCGGGCCCCCGTTCCCCCTCTCCATCTGCTTCTCCTTGACTGCCTTGCTCTCTGAGCTGCGGGCATCTCTGGGCTCGCCCACCCCCGCGGGAGAAGCCGCGCGAGCTGACCTCCCAGCGGAACCGCTTCGCTCGGCTCGCCGCGCCCGCCGAGGCGGCGCGCAACTGGCGCTGCGCCACGAGCCCGAACCCAGACTGGCGCCGCTCCGTCAAGGACGGCCCATATCGCCGATTCACGCGCGCGCGTCCTCGGGGACAGCGGGGCCTGGCGATGTTTTTCGAGCTGCCCGAGCGCGCCTGCGCTGCCGGGGGGGGGGGGGGGGGGCGGCGCGTCGCTCAGTGGGCCCGAGCGCGGTGAGATCCTCGTCCAGGTGCTAGTTTCTGGCAGTTGTACCCGTCTCACCGATGGCGCGCGCGCGTCAATCTGCGGCCCCGAAAAGTCGCGCTGCGCACGGCGCAAAAGGAAAAGCCTACCTCGCTTAAGTGCAGATCGTTTCAATACCTGTTTACAAACATTTGAAGTTGTGGCGCGGCATCGCGCCCTGCGATGCCGCGCTGCGGGCCGTCGTCGACCGCGCGCGCGTCGCGCGCCCGAGCGGGCGCGCCGAGACACTTCATTTAAGGAAAGGCACGCAGTGCCGCGACGGCTCGCGGCCCGAGACGCGCAACTGCATCCCAGACAGCGCCCGCGCTTCCGACAGGGAGCGCTGCCGCGCATGCTCGCGGGCCCGGGCGAGGCGCATGCGGCGGCCAAGCAAAGACCTGCTCCAGGAATTCGGCCGCGCCCTGCGCGCGACCCGAGATGGTCCGCTTCAAGCAGTCGCGTTTGGAGTGCAGCCCGCCCGCGCGCAGACAGCGCGGGCTGCGGCATCCAGCGCGCAGTTTGGGCAGCGTCTTGCGTCTCCATGTACGTCTTCATGGGGAAAATCACACAAACCGCCCAGGCCTACATCGAGCCTGCTTCGGGAGAAGGAGGAAGAGGAGGAGGAGGAGGAGCAGAGGGGGAGGTGGAGGGGGAGGAGTAGGACGAGTGGGAGGCGGGGGAGGAAGACTTGGAGGACGAAGAGGGGGAAGAGAAGGGGGAAGAGGAAGAGGGACATTGTTCTTGTAATCGTTTCTTGTTTTCTGACTCTCTGGCTCGGGGAGGGGTGCTGACGGCGAGGAGGGAAGGGGGGCGCAGGTTGAAGAGGGCTCGACAGGAGGAAGGAGGTGAAGTAGGTGAAGGAACACAAGGAGGGACACACCGAAGAGCGGGGACGACAGGGAGGGGGAGGAGAAGGAGGAGGAAAAAGAGGAGGAGGAGGCGAAGGAACAGGGATCCCTTTTCAGGGGGACGCCGACGAGGAAAACATGAATCTAGGATGATCGGAAGAGGGAGACCAGGAAAAGGAGGAGGAAAAGGGAACTGCAGTGGACCGGGGGCGATGACGCTGATGATGATGACGATGCGTATGCAGACGACGACGCTGACTCAATGTTGTTGATGCGGGCGATGTTGCTGAAACGTTTCCCGGCGATGATGGCGATGGTGATCACGATGCTGATGACAATTGTGACAATGATGGTTGTTGTGATGGTGGGTGACTATGACGTTGACGATGGAGATGACGACGAGGATGAGAATGACAAAGGTGACGCCTGTCATGACCTAGTTAGAATTGGAGCGCGCGCGAAGCGCGCGCGATGGCTCTAGCGTATGAATGTAGATGTATGCATATACCCATATCCACGGCCCGCTGGGGCACCAGAGCGTCGGCTCCCAGGCGGTCGGCATGGTCAAATCCCCCCCATCGCAGAGGGGCTCGGGTTTCCAGGCCGCTCCTCAGATCTAGGTCGGAGAGCCTTCTGGAAGGGGGGGGAACGCACACACACGCACACACAAGTAATCGTCGATCCCCCGGAAAACATTGGAAGATGTTCGGAGCGGAGGGGAAGGCGAACATCCAGAAAATATGGAACATATGGGGAATCCTGGGCTTCGCGTCTATTTCTTCGTTGCCCGTGGGCCCCTTTAAACTTGTCTGTGGCCTACCGTCAAATTTGATTCACAGGTCGACCCTGCCAAGTCAAGGGTACCCGTGTGCCCTGTGTCTCCCGGCCCACGCCTTCCACAATCCTATGGCAATATGGTCCTCGGAACCATATTGCGTCCTCCGGCGTGCCCTCTCAATCAAGCTCGACCGTAGGCCCGCCATGGCCAAAAACAGCACTTTTCGGTCGGCGGCGAGTGAGGGGGGGAAGTGAGAAGGGGCGGGCCTTCTCAGAAGGCTCGGAAGTCCCCCGGCCTTCTGAGAAGTTGTTTTACGCCTTTCCCGAAGGCGGAACAACAACCTTTTCAGAAGGCGCGAGGGCTTCTGAGAGGTCGTGCCACCTTCTGAAAAGGCCTTCTCCTTCTCGCTTCTCCCCGGGGCTCGCCGCCATTTTCTTCCCTCCTCGCGTTCCCTCTGGCAGCGTGCTGGCGGTGCCGCGGCGCCGCCGCCGCGCTGCCGCCGCCGCGGCCAGGTTTGGTGCCTGCTGCGGGCCTGCGACAGCCTGTTCAGCTGCTCCGACGACCGCGCCGCCCTCCGCCCTCCGCCGCCCCTCCCGTCGAAGGGAAAGCGGGACAAGGAGGAGGAGGAGGAGGAGGAGGAGGAGGAGGAGGAGGAGGAGGAGGATATGGAGGATATGGAGGATATGGAGGATATGGAGGATATGGAGGGGAGGAGGAGGGAGGAGAAGGACGGAAGGAGGAGGAGGATACGGAGGAGGAGGGAAGGAGGAGGAGGACATGGAGGAGGAGGAGGAGGAGGAGGAGGAGGAGGAGGAGGAGGAGGAGGAGGAGGAGGGAGGAAGAGGAGGAGGGAGGAGGAGCAGCAGGGGAAGGAGGAGGAAAGGGGGAGGAGGCGGAGAAGGGTGGAGGAACGGGTGCCCTGCGGAGGAAGGGGTGCCGAGTGCCGCTGCCCCTGCCTCGTGTGTTGCCTGCTTTGACCTCCTGGATAGGCCCTCCTTCGCCACGGCTGGGTCTGCCCCGAGATCCTGCCTGAGCAGATATCGCCCCAGGAGGGGCCCGGGGAGTGTCGGTATCCGCCTCCTCCTCCTCGTCCTCCTCGTCCTCCTCCTCCTCGTCCTCCTCCTCCGCCTCCTCCTTCTCTTTCTGCTCCTCCTCCTCCACGTTTGTCTTCCCAGGGTCCACTTCGATCCGATCGGTCGGATTCGATGTCGGCTCCAGCGGGCCGGATTCGGTTCGATTCCGATGCTCGGGCGATGCGCTGTGGCCCGATGCATGCCTGGGGCTGCTGGTGTGCATCCTGGCGCGCCACCGATTGGATCCGATTCCGACTCCGAGCCGAGGCGGTCCGATTCGCTACACGTTCTGATCCGACACGGTTGCGCTATTCGGTTATAATTGTTCTTGCTTCTTGCCCCTTCAGTCTTCAAAGTCTAATCTCTACCCATCCCCACTGGGCCATGGTGTCTCAGCCCCACCAGCCCACCTTCCCAGGTGGGGATAGGCCCTGCGGAGCCCGAAGGAACAGGCAGGCATCCCCACTTGTGCGACGCAAAACAACGGGTCGTCTGCGCCGACATTTGCGCGTACGCTGCTCGCGTAAGGTCGCGCGTTAGTGATCTCGTCTCCATTGTGACTTGCCGCGCTGGTGGCCTGCGTAAGCCACCGCGTAAGGTCGCGATGTTATCTCGAGCAAGGCCCGTTTTTGATCGCCGCTCACCGTGGTGCTCGGACCCCCGGCGTCATGATTTGTTAATAACGTCGACCCCCGGAGGTCTCGTCCCCGTTTCAACCTGAGTCGTTTCTTGACGATCCCGCGGCCCGGTGATGGCCCCCTGAAACCGAAGCTAGCGAAAAACCTCCCGCCGTGATGTATGTCACAGTGCGAGGAGGTCTGGGCGGCCAGCGGGGCCGCTCCTGAGGAGGAGGAGGAGGAGGAAGTTGAGGAGGACGAGGAGGAGAAGGAGAAGGAGGAGAAGGAGGAGTGTGGTGGAGGAGGAGGAGGAGGAGGAGGAGGAGAAGATGTGGAGCGGAGTGGAGTGGAGTGGAGTGGAGTGGAGTGGAGTGGAGTGGAGTGGAGTGGAGTGGAGTGGAGTGGTGGAGGGGGAGGATGGGGTCCGAGGCCGGGGTCATTTCACAACGCGAGGGAGTCTAAAAGCAACCAGCGGGGCCCAAGGCCACGCCCGTGGTGGCTGGGATCGGTCCGACGGTGCTCCTCAACGGGGGGGCGGAGAGCGGTTCTGCTGCCACTCTCCGGGCGGCCCGCCCCGTTCTTTTCCTCCTCTTCCTCCTCCTCGTCCTCCTCCTCCCTCCTCCTCCCCCTCCTCCTCCTCCCCCCTCCACCCCTTCCTCCTCCTACTCCTCCTCCCTCCTGCTCCTCCTCCTCCTGCTCCTCCTCCTCCTCCGCCTCCTCCTCCTCCTCCTGGGAGGCCAGTGGAGGCTGGGATCGGTCCAACGTTGCTCCTCCACGGGGGGGCGGCAAGCGGTGCTGCTGCCACTCTCCGGCCTCTGGGCGGCCCGCCCGCCCCAGGCTCCCGAGCGGCCGCCAGAAGGTTTGCCTACAGGATTCCGTGATGGAAAGAAGCGCACTCTTTTTTCATTCCAGAGGGGGCCCAGCGGCAAGAACGGGTGACGAGCAGACGCGGAAAAGCCGGAAAGTGGAGGCGGCGGAGGGGGAGGAGGAACGAGGAGGACAAAAAGCGCGCCCGGCGAGCGCGCGGGACAACGGCTGCCCAGGGCAGCCGCCGCGAAGCTAATGGATCGTGGACTCCCAGGATCTAACTGGGCCTCCTAGATGGGGTCGGAGGATCGCGACGGATCGCCGATGCATCGCCGATGCGGCTCGACGTAGGGCCCGATTGGCCGCACGTCGACGTTGCCGATGCATCGCCCACGTCGACGTTGCATCGCTGCATCGTTGATGCATCGCTGGTGCATCGCATCGCCCATGCATCGCCGTTTTATTGGCGATGCGGCGAGATCCTCCGACCCCATCTACTCGGTCCACATCTAGAAGGCCTCTACCGGAACATATGGGAGAACACGGGAAGTGGGAGGGAAGACGAAATTTCAGAACATGTGGAGAAGCATGTGGGGAGTCCTGGGACTTGTGTCTATCACATCGCCCACGAAGTAGTTTACGTAACCTCCACCCCAACCTCGTGCCTCACAAAAGCGTTCTGGCTTGGAAGGGGCGCGCGGGTGTCGCCCCTCTAGCTTGTGTAAGGCAAGGTGAGCGCGAGTCTCGCCTCCTTTTCGCCTGGCACTTGCTTCCCCCTCGGTCTCGCAATTGTTTTGTACTGGCTGCGATTGTTTTTGTCGTCCTCCTTCCTTGCCCATTCCCTACCTTCCTGCTCCTCCCCCTCTCCCGGATCCCCGCGATTCAGCACGCGTAACTTTTTGTCTGCCAGTTCGCCGTCTGGGCGCCAGGCTTCACTTGCCTTGACTTGACTCAGACTCGCCCGGCTGCTGGAGCACCGGCGCGCGGAGCTCCAGGCAGCAGAGCATGATAGCGTGTACGTGGGAACGCGGCCGGAGCGGCAGCCGACGAGTCCACCACGCTGGCCGACGAGCGCTGCCTCAGGGATGCACTGAGGCTCGCGGCGGCGGCCTCGGCACCGTGCTCTTGGCGGTCCCGCGTTCCTGCACGTGGGGAGCGCGGCAGCTGCGGCAGTGGGCGAGTCCGCCACGACGGTCGAGAAGCGCGGCCTGATGGATGCCACCATGGCCGACGGCGACAGCATGACGAGCTCCGCGGCTCGTAGCGGCACCCTCGACACCGTGCCACTGGCGCTTCTTGCGCGCTTGTTCGCGGACAGCTTGGCCGGAGGCGGCAGTAGACGAGTCCCCCACGATTCTGGAGGTAGGAAAGGGGTATGGTATAAACGTGTGTGGTGCGAATTTCATGTAGAGAGGAATCTGGCGATGTTATTAATCGCAGATAGCATCACCGATGAAACGATTGGCACCATACCCCTTCACGCCGCACCCCTTTCCGACCTCCAAAACGATGTCCGACGAGCGCCGTCTGATGGATATGGCCAGGGTGGACGGCGATGACACGAAGAGCGCCGAGGGTCGTAGCCGAAGTGTTTGGCGTAACCTCCCGCCACATGGTGCCTCACAAGAGCGTTTTGGCTTGACTTTTACCCCCCCTTGATGCTCGCAACTTTCAGCCTGTCGCACAGCAGTGCTCGCGTGCTTGCGTCGTGCGAGGCGGAGGCACAGGCCTTCATGCTTTCATCGCTCGATGGGAGCGAGCTCAGCTGGATGTTCACATTTCCTCCTTCCAGGGGCAACCCCACCTCTGCCCCTGCCACCTTTACGTCCCCCCGAACTGTCGGCCTGCGGGACGAGAGGTTCTGGCTCCAGGATGAAGTCCCCTTGGTCCCCATGCCTCCCCTTCCCCGCTCTTCCTGGTGCCTGCTGTAGACTCTGCGACGGCCTGTTCAGCAGCTCCAGCGACCCCCCCCCCTCAGAGGAGAGACAGCTCGACCCCAGTGCCCTTCCCTCGATTTCGCCTTTTCTGGGCTCCAGGGATGGCCCTCGTTCCCACGGCTGGATTTGCGTCGGAGTCCTGGCCGGTCAGAGCATGCCCCGTAAGATCAGCGACATCGGGATTGATGTGTTCTTTCACTTCCGCCTCTGCCTTCTCCTCCTCGACACAGCCCCCATCCTTCTCCTCCTCTGTCTCCTCCTCTGTCGCCTCTGTCTCCCCCTCCTCCTCCTCCTCGTCCTCCTCCTCCTCCTCCTCCTCCTCCTCTGCCCCTGCTCCTGCTCCCTCCATCGTCCCCGTCCTTTCCCCCCTCTCCATTCCTCCCCTTCCGCTCTGCCTCCTCCTCCTCCTCCTCCTCCTCCTCCTCCTTCTCCTCCTCCTCCTCTGCCTGTTCCTCCTCCTCTTCCTTTTCCCTCCTCCTTCTCCTCCTCCTCCTCCAGCTCCACCTCCTCCTCCCCCCTCCTCCTCCTCCTCCCCTCCTCATCCTCCTCCTTCTCCTCCTCCTCCTCCTTCTCCTCCTCCTCCTCCTCTGCCTCCTCCCCTGCTCCTCCTCACTCCCGTTCTTCTCCCCATGCTCCTCCTCCCTCCGTTGGCCCCATATAAATTTTCAAAATCAGGACTATTATCCCATCTCCCCTTATTCTAGAAGGTGTCCCGCCCTCTCCGCGTATTGCTTTCGATCATAGGTTTTCAACAGTCGGTATCCGTAAGGGCTTCGCCCCCTGCCGGCCGCTGGCCCCCTCTCCTCGGAGAATGGGGCATGCAAGAGCTATGTTGTGAGGCCTGCGCGCCGTCGTGAAGCAGCGCCCGAACTCCGAACGGGGGCCACTGGAGATATGAGCGTGCCAGAATCAATTACCCTGGCGACGTACCCAACCCTTGCGCAATGCGGGGCATAAGTGCATCAGGATTGCTACAACGGGGGCGATGACGTAACATGGGCGCATGTGATTTTGCGAGCAGCAACCGGAAGGCTCGCAGGCCCCCGATCAAGATCTAAGGGCTACGTAATAACAAATCACCCGCGTTCGCTGCGCCATGCGCCTGTTGCACCCAACGTATCCCGCAGCAA